GGCCGGCGCCCCGGGATCCCGGCGGCGATCCGGCGCGATCCCGAGCGATCCCGAGCGATCCCGAGCGATCCCGCGCGATCCGGAGCGATACCCTACTCATCGCGGCCAGAAGGCCGGCGGCCGACGCCGAGTACGAGGTGATAAAAGAAAACGGGGCGGGCCGCACCGGGAATCGAACTTGGAGCAAAATGAAGATCCATGAGGCATCTAATCGTGACAAAAGCAAAAAAAAAATGAAACGGGCCGCGCCGGGAATTGAACCCGGGACCTCTCGCACCCTAAGCGAGAATCATACCACTAGACCACACGGCCGAAAACAAAGCTCACCCGGACGGGGTCGAACCGTCGACACCCAGATTAACAGTCTGATGCTCTAACCAACTGAGCTACGGGTGATGAGAACCACCAACCCCGCCGAGCTCGCTGGAGCTCGACGAGTTGGTTCGATGCGAGAAAACATATTTCGCACGAGATATCAACTAGCTCCAAAGCGGCTTCGGCTAAGTGGTGGAGCTCCGCTGAGAGCTCGGCAGCGTCTGCGTCGAACACCGCCTCCGCGCGCGAGGGGTTGTGCGCGCGGACGCCTGCCGCGCTACGACGCCTGCCGCAAGTGTACACGTTATCGCTCGAACACGACAAGACATTGAAAGCGCTGAACGCAAGCGCTCACACAATCACACAAAAAAAAAGCAATGCTGCGCACGCCTGAGAGCAGCGGCTGCTTTTGCGAGCCGCAGAACCTGCAGCGCGAGACGGAGACGGGCTGCTTCGGTTTGCGGCCCACCGCACAAGACAATACACCCAACCCCTTCGACGGCGACGACGACGGCGCGCGGCGCGACGCCGTCGACGAAAGCTCGGAGACGACAAACACCACATCCAACACAACAACATCACCGGAGCCCTCGCGGGGCCCCAAGTCCTGCCAGACTATCCACTGGCGCGGCCGGGCGCGGCGCGGCGTGCGGAGGCGAGACCCCGCCGCGCCGCCGCCCTCGACGGCCGCGTGACGGCCCGCGTTAGACTATAAGCCCCCAGCGGCAACTTGATCGTCTCCCACTCGTCGTCGAAATCCCCCCCGACGACACGACCCACGCCTCCACGGCCGGGTCGTCGAGACCCCGCCGCGCCGCCGCCGTCGACGGCCCGCGCGTCCGCGCTTTAAACCTTTAAAGCGGCAGCTTGATCGTCTCCCACTCCTCATCCAGACCCCCATCGACGACCCACGCCTCCACGGCCGGGTCGTCGAGCGCCAGCAGGGGCCAGACGTCGAAGGCGGACCGCTCGTCCTTCGAGAGCGCGTCGAGCGCGGCGAGCGGCAGCGCGACGCCTCGCGGCGAGCTGGCGCGCGGCGGCGAGGGCCGCGGCGGCGTCGTCGGCCGTCGCGAAGACGCCGCCGAGGTCGCCGTCGAGGTCGCCGCCGCCGCCGAGCGCGGCCGCGAGCGCGGCCGCGGACGCGAGGGTCCGCGACCGGCGCGGCTTCGACCGCGGCGCGGCCTCGGCGCGCGCCGCGTCGCGCTTCTCGAGGAACTTCCGCCGCGACGCCGAGACCTTGGTCCGCGGCCGCTCGCGCGCCGGCTCGCCCGCGCCCGGCCGGTAGCCCTCGAAGACGAGGCGGTCGCCGAGGGCGCCGATGGCGCCCTTGTCCCGGGGCAGGCGCCGCGCGCCGCGCGCCAGGAACCGGGCGTCCCGGGGCAGCGCCGCCGCGAGCGCCGCGGCCGCCGCGACCGTGTCCGCGGCGAAGCGGCGGACGCCGGCCGCGTGCGCCAGGATCGCGACGGCCTCCGACGGCGCGTCGACGCAGAGCTCCGCGGGCCGCAGCCCCGCGCGCGCCGCGCAGACGAGCGCCGCGTCGCAGCGCCGCCGCGCGTCGTAGAGCGCGTCGACGTCGTCGAGGTCCGCGAGGTCCACGTCGGCGAGGGCGCCGCCGGCCTCGTCGTCCCAGAGCGCGGCTTCGTCCGGCGCGGCGCGCGTGCGCTGCAAGCGCTGCCGGGAGCGCGGCCGGGACCGCGGCGGGGGCGCGGCCGGCAGCAGCGCCGCGGCGGATTGCAACACTGCGGCGCAGAGGAGCAAAGCTCGCCCCATTGCGGCAAGTGCTTTGACACAGTGTGCAAGGTGACATCAAAGAGCACCAGCCCTGGAGAGCACTCCGGCGACACCCAAGCGCAAGGCGACCTCAAAGAGCACCCAGCGAGCACTCGACATACAAGCGCCACTTTAAGCAAACCATTCAGGGCGGCGTCGTGGCGGGGAGGGCGTCGCCGGCGGGCGCCTTGGCCGGCGCGGCGGCGAGCGCGGCGGCGACCGCGAAGGCCGCCGCGGTGCCCGAGTAGATCCCGAGGTCGAGGATCAGGCTCGACGAGCCCACGTGCGCGGCGCCCGTGAGGCACGCGGCCGCCGCGACGACCCAGATGCCGCGGCCCGCGGCGCCGTGCGTCTTGAGGACCGCGGGCCGCCGCCGCGCGCCGATCTTCGCCTAAGAAACACCCGATGGCCGTTTTCTCGAACAACGTCGCCCGTGGGGACGCCGACCCGCGCGAGCCCCGAGCAGGCCTGGAGCGACATGAGGCCCAGGGCCGCGTACCCGAGCGCGGCGTGCGGGTTCGTCAGCGGCCGCTTGAGCGGGTGCGACACGCCGAGGCGGCCGCGGCGCGCCGCGGCGACCGCGACGGCCGCGGCCATCGCGACGAGGGACCCGCCCATGCGCGCCGCGTGCGTCCGCCGCGCGGCGGTCTTCTCGGCGCCCGCGGCGCGGTACGCGAGGAGGCCTACGACGCGGCATCTGGGTTTTCATCCTCCGAAGAAACGTCGGTGTTCGTCCTCCGAAGAAACGTCGGTGTTCCAACGCGAAAAAACGGTCGGGACGCGGGCGCGGGCCGTCGGCCATGAGGCCGAAGATGGCCGCGGAGGCGACGATCGGGTGCCACGCGAAGACGTCGCGGGGGCCGTAGTGGTGGAGCGCGCCCGCGGCGACGAGGCCCGCGGCGACGCGCGACGCGCCCCGCGCCGCGTCGGGCGCGCACCGGAGGCACAGAGCGCGCCACGCCGCTAGAAACCGCCGCGAGACCTTCGGGTCCGTGAGGAAGACGGGCGACACGAGCCAGGCGACGAAGACGTAGAGCCAGACGGGGCTCCAGGGGCCGCCCGGCGCGAGGCGCAGGAACGGGTTCACGAGCTTGTCGGCCCAGCCCATCATGATCGAGAAGTTGGACGCGTGGGGCGGCACGTGGTGGCGCGCGTGCTTCGCGGGCGCGATGAGCAGGCCCGCGCGCTCGAGGACGCGCGCGACCGTGGGCACGGCGAACGCGGGCGTGTGGCTCCAGCGGTGCGCGAACTGCATGACCACCGAGTTGAGCGACGCGAAGCAGACGAAGACGGCCGTCGGCGCGTAGCGCTCCGAGTCGAAGGTCTTCGCGCGCGACGCCGCGGCGTAGATGGCGATGAGCGTCGCCCAGACGATGGCCGCGGCCACGGGCAGGTGCGTGAACGCGTAGTGCAGCCCCGGCGTCGCCGCGATCTTCTGGGGATCCGCGTGGTGGTTCACGAAGGACCGCACGCCCCCGGCGAGCAGGGAAAAGCGCTCGTTGTTCGAGTTGTCGAGGACGAGGTGGAGCAACAAGCCCGTGACGTCGATGTAGAGCGCGGACGCGAGGAAGAGCTGGACCGTGCCCGCGAAACCGACGCGGCGCACGAAGCCGAACGCGTCGAAGGCGGGCAGGAACGCGGCGATAACTAGAGCCAGGGCCAGCGAGAGGCCTACCGAGCGCGACGGTGTGACGATGTCTCACCACCCAAAATCTCTCGAAAACCGTCGCGGCCACGGGACGCCGCGAGAGGCCCGCGACCAGATTCACGAGGGGCACCGTCGCGACGTCGAAGGGCACGACGCCGCTCCGCCGCGCCTTCTCGTCGGACGACGCCGCTAATGCGCGCCGCGCGGCCGCGTGGACCGCGGCGCAGTCGCAGGCGCCGTCCTCGTCGTCGTTCGCGGGCGACGTGGAGCTCGCGTCGCCGGGCAGGCTGACGCCGTGCTTCCGCGGGAGCTCGCCGAGCTTGTGCTTGGAGTACGCGTAGACGTGGCCCGTCTGGGGGCCGCCGCCCTCGGGAGGGAAGTAGGGCGCCTGCTGCAGGGCCCAGGCCGCCTCCGCCTCCCAGCAGCAGCAGGGGTCGCCCAGCTCGAAGCCGTTGCTCTGGCCGTCGCCGTCGCTGTCCGCCTCGCAGAGCCAGGGCGTCCACGCGAAGCCCGCCGCCGCGAAGTCGTCGCCGAAGCTGTTCCGCGCGCCGCCGCCGGCCGCCGACACGTGCCCGAGCGCCTCGAGGCGCTGGCCGTTCGGGAGCCGGCAGCGGAACTCGTCGAAGGCGAGCGCCGACGACACAACGACGGCTGCCCGCCAACTCATCGTCGTCCTTTTTCACAAAGACAAGCCGGCCTACGGCCGGCAAGCTCGCTTCGCGAGCTATCGGCCACTCGTTTAATTGAGGTTGCTCGCTACGCTCGCTTAAACCACTCGTTGAAAGTTTTATGTTGCTGCTCGGACGTGTGCACCGCGACACACTGCAAAATAGAATAATAATATGACAAGCCGGCCTACGGCCGGCAAGCTCGCTTCGCGAGCTATCGGCCACTCGTTTAATTGAGGTTGCTCGCTACGCTCGCTTTAAACCACTCATTGAAAGTTTTATGTTGCTGCTCGGACGTGTGCACCGCGACACACTGCAAAATAGAATATAGAAATTGGATTAGTATCGCGCACCCGAAAATGTTTTATGTTGCAGCTGGTGCTGCCCACCTGAAGGTCTAGCCGAGGCCTTATGGATCAGGTTCCGTGCGACGTGCTGGTGATGGTCTTCGAGTCCTGTCCCACGAAGCAGGCGTTCGGGAGCCTACGGGGCACGTGCAAGAACCTCAAGGCGTCGAGCGAAGCCAAGAAGCTCGCGATCACCAAGCGCAAACTGGTCTGGCGCGACAAGATCGTGCGGAACGAGGCGGTGCTGCGGCACGGCCGCGATCCCGTCGCCTGCTCGTTTTCTCAAGACGGCGCGCGCATCGAGGTGGTGACTGGGCACGGTTGGGTCGAAACGGTGCGCACCTGGGAAGCGGAGACGGGCGCGGCGCTGAGCACGCTCGAGCGCCCGTTCGCGCGTTGCAGCGGCGTGACGTCGCCCGACGGGACGCGCTGGGTCAAGTTTGGATCTCCGGCGGAACTCTATGACTTCGAAGGTGGGACCATGCTCAAGCGACTCGAGGGGTCTGTTTCGCCATTCTCCTTCACAGCGACGCTCCGCGTGTTCTCGCGCGACAGCGCGCGCGTGGTGACTGCAGGTCACACCAAAATGGGGATCTTTAGCGCGGTCGACGGCGGGCTGCTGGTGTTGCTCGAGGGACACGACGGCTATGCCAACTGCGCCGAGTTCTCGCCCGACGGCGCGCGCGTCGTGACAGCGAGCTTGGACCGCACGGCGCGCGTCTGGGACGCGGCGACGGGCGCGACGCTCATGACGCTCCGGGGCCACGCCTGCTACGTCCACTGCTGTGCCTTCTCGCCCGACGGTTCGCGCGTCGTGACGGGGGGCAGCGACGGTACGGCGCGCGTCTGGGACGTGCGCGCGAGCCAGCTCTGACCGCGCTCTTTGCCCTTCTTAAGAGGCGATCATCTTCTGCGTCCGCGCGCCTAGGCCGACACCGTCGCGTGGGCGTTGATCATGTCGTCGACGATGCTCGGGTCCGCGAGCGTGGACGTGTCGCCGAGGCCCTCGCGGTCGACGTCGACGCCGTCGGCGGCGATATCGCGGAGGATGCGGCGCACCATGATCTTGCCGCTGCGCGTCTCCGGGAGGCCCAGTGGATGGCGCCGGGCGCCGCGACGGCCGCGACGTCCGACCTCGCGTGCTTCTCGAGCTCCGCGACGAGGCCGTCGCCCGCGTCGGCCTCGCCGGCCTCCGCGAGCGCGACGAGGGCGTAGAACGAGCCAACGGCGATGCCGACGATCGCGCGGGCTCGACCCTCCGCCGTGGCCGGGGTCGTCGTCGACGCGGCCCGCCGAGCGCCCGATCGCTACTTCGCGCTGCTGCTGTAGGGCACCTCCTTCTCGACCCAGGGGATGCGGACGTAGCCGCGGCCCGCGAGCTGGCTCGCGCGGCGGTACCAGACGAGGCCCACGGCGACGGCCGCGGAGATGACGAACGCGACGAGGACCTCGGCGACGAAGTCGCCGACGGGGACGCCGAAGACGTCGGCCTTCTTCGACTTCTTCTTCGACGACGACGACGCGATGGACACGGCGACGACGCGCGCCGTGTCGTTCGCGAGGGCCTGCCGGGGACGCGGCGTCCGGGGACGAGCGCGGCGCGCGCGGGTCCCCCCGGCGGCGACGTTCCCGGAACGAGGACGCGGGCGAACAGGCCGTGCAGTTGCCCACCTCGCAGGCGAAGTGGTACTCGTCGACGTCGTCCCAGTCCCAGTCGTCGTCGGAGCACGTCGACAGCGAGTACGTGCCCGTGAGGTCGAGCTGGATGCCGTAGCCGCCTGGGCAGCAAAAGGGTGATTCAACGTCGCTTCAATGTGAGTTTTCCGCGCGCGCGAATTCCGGAACAAGCATCCACGCTTCGAGACCGTTCCGAGAGATGATCGCTCGTCCAAAAATCAGCCAAAACGAGTGGAAAACGGCCGAGATATGAGCCTTTGAAGTTGGGAATTTCGCTCTCTTTTGCTGCCCTGGTAGCCGCCCGGGTCCATGACGTACATGACGAGCTCGCCCGTGCCTGCGCGGCGCGATTGAGGGCGGGCGCGGCGCGCCGGGGGCGCCGGCGGCGCGCAGACGTAGTACGTCGCGTTGTGCGCCGCGAGGTACTCGTAGACGACGCGGCCGTCCTCGACCTGGGCAGGAAAAGAGAGATTCAACGTCGCTTCAACGTGAGTGTTCCGCGCGCGCGCGTTTCGAAAAAACATCAACGCTTCGAGACCGTTCCGAGAGATGATCGCTCGTCCAAAAATCAGCCGAAACGAGTGGAAAACGGCCGAGAAACGAGCCTTTGAAGTTGGGAATTTCGCACTCTTTTCCTGCCCTGTCCTCGACGGCCGAGTCGTAGGCGTAGTGGAAGTCCGTCCACCTGTCGAGGGGTCGGATCGCGGATCCATCGCGTCGCGCGTCCGACCACCGCCGAAGGACGCCGCCGCGCGCTTGTCGAGCTGGCAGTTCGGGTTCGGGCCGAGGAGGTCCGCGTGGACCGCGTTCAGCATGGCCTCGAAGTCGGCGACCGTGTAGAAGCTCGTGATCTCGGACCGCTCCGCGTAGCAGACCTCGACGTCCGCGGACCACCAGCGGAAGCACGCCTTGCGGACCTCGGGCGAGTCGTAGGCGTAGGTCGCCGACACGTTGAGCGCGCCGTAGAACGCGACCATGGCGTCGAGGTCCGCCTGCGGCGCGCGGCGGACCGTCGCCCCGCGCGGCGCCACGAAAGCGCTCGAACGACCGCGACCGAAGAAACACGCTCGCGACGCCGGAATGCTCGCCGTCGCGCGCGAGACGGAGACGACCTTGAGGGTCTGGTTCGCCAAGTAGTCGGCTTGATAAGCGTCGGAGAACGCGTAGTCGATCGCGCGCGGCGACATGCGCCGCTCCAGGATCGTCGCGTTCGCGAGGTGCGCCGACGCCTACCGCGCGCGTCAGAAATTTCCCGGTCCCTCGAAAGTCGTCGCGGGACGCCGGCCGACGCGTTGCTCATGAGCTCGATGACGAGCATGGACGCCGGCACGTGGACAAAGAGGCCGTAGAAGGTCGACGCGTTGCCGCTCGTCCCGTTCGTCCAGCGGTACCTGAGGATCGACGCAGAGCTCAGGGCTGGCCGCTTGGCGGTCGCACGCGCAACAACCGCCGCGGGGCATGCAGACGCAGCGCATATACGGGTAGTACGACACGTTGTCGGCGTCGAAGGCCTCGACGAAGGCGTCGAGCGCGCGCGGGCCCGTCGGCGGCGCGTAGAACGCGACGCTGTAGTCCATGTACGCGTCGAAGTGGTCCATGTCGTTGAGCCGCTCCTCGAAGACGGCCTCCACGGCCGCGACGCTCAGGCCGCCGGTCGTGAGCTTGAACGACGTGTTCACGAGGTGCAACCCGAAGCCGCGGTCGCCGTAGAGCTGGACGCGGCCCTGGGCCACGGTCTCCAGCGTCTCGTTCGCCGTCGAGCAGACGCAGTCGTTGTCGACGCCGAGCCAGTCGTCGGCCGCGCCCTCGCAGGAGTCGCTCGAGGTGATGACGGGCAGGTATTTCTCCATCCATTGCATGGGCGCCTCCGGCGCGTTGCAGGGCAGCGTGTACTTGCTCACGCCGTCGCCCATGGCCTGCGGCCGCACGCGCGCGATGAGCAACATGGCCAGCGCGAGGCTGCCCATCGTCGTCATCGATCACGATGGTGCAGGGCATGGTGCCTTTGTCGGGAGGCAGCCCCGCATCTCAGCCCCGCTCGATCGATCGACCTGGGCCGCTCGTCACCGCACCTTCTCCGGGATGGCCGAGTCGGCGGCGGAGCTGCGGGGCCGCTGCGAGTACGACGCCGACGCGGCCTACAACCTGAGCTTCATGCTCGCGCAGGTGCGTCCGCGCCGGAACTTCGGGGGCGGGGGCGCGCGCCCGGGCACATTGGGACGCCTCCGTAGGGCCGGGGCGGCCTGAAGCGCGACCGGGGCGAGGCGCTGCGGCTGCTCGTGCGGTCCGCGGAGCTCGGCAAGGTGCAGGCGCAGGTCCAGTACGCCGCGCTCCTCGCCGACGGCCGCGGCGGCGTCGCGCGCGACGAGGCGAGCGCCGCGCGATGGCTCGAGACCGCGGCCGACGGCGGCTACGCGGAGGCCCAGTTCCGCCTCGGCTGCATGGTCGCCGCGGGCAAGGGCGGCCCCGCCGACGCCGCGCGGGCGCGGCGCCTCGTCGCCGCGGCGGCGGCGCAGGGCCACGTCGACGCCAAGGCGCGCGGCCGCGTCGCGCGCGGACGCCGCCGTTTCGTTCTTTCGACGAGTCGTATGGAATCGCTCGTCCGCCTCGAAGGAACGACGCCGGTCACCGACGCCATCGCATCGCAGGCGCGCTTGGACGCGGAGCGGGGCGGCCCGGGCGGCGGCGCGCCGGAGGGCTGGGCCTTCGCCGTGTCGTCGATCGAGCCGGCGCCGGCGCCGCCGGCGCCGAGCGTCTTCGCGACGCTCGGCGGCACCGCGGGCGCGTCGCTCTCGACGCTCTTCCGCGGCGACGCGGCGCGCGAGGCGCCGCCGCCGCCCGCCGAGGCGCCGCCGTCGCGCGCGCGACGCGAGGACGCGTGGCTCTCGCCCGGCGCCGCGGCCGCGGAGCTCGAGGCCGCGCGCGGCGCCGCGGCGTCCGAGCGCGCGCGCGCGGACGCCCACGCGGCGCGGAACGAGGCCCTCGAGGCCGAGGCCGCGGCGCTCCGGGGCCGCGTCGCGGACCTCGAGGCGCCCGCTCGCGGCGGCCCCCCGTCGCGCCAGGGCAGCGGCAGCTCCCTCGCGTCCGGCGCGGAGCTCGACCGCCCGGAGACGCTCGGCCTCGACGCCGAGGAGGCTCTAGCGCGGCTGCGGGAGGAGCTCGCGGCGCGCGACGCGGCCCACGACCAGGCCGTCGCGGCCCTCGCCGCGGACCGCGAACAAGCCGCCGCGAAACTCGCGGCGGCGCACGCCGCGGACCTCGCGGCGCAGCGCGAGGCCCTCGACGCCATGTCCGGCGACCACTTCGCGACGCACATGGCCCACGAGCTCGCCCTCCAGGGGCAGGCCGACGACCACGCGCTGGCGCTGTCGACGCTCGAGAAGCGGCACGTCGAGGACAAGGCCGCGGAGCTCGCGGGTTTGGGGCGCACGCACCAGCAGGCCATGCAGAGCCTCCTGGACCAGCACGGGGCGCTGCGCAAGGACCACGAGGCCTTGCGGCGCGCCCGCGACGCCGCGGAGAAGCAGCTCGCGGCGACGGTCGAGGCCTACGACGACCTCGTCAAGGCCGACGACGCGCGCGAGCGCGAGATCGGCGAGATGACGTCGCTGACCTTCGCGCGGAAGCAGGCCGCGGAGCTCGAGGCGCTGAAGGCGTCGCACGCGTCCGAGGTGGCGCTGCTGCGCGCGGACCACGACGCGGAGCTCCTGGGCAAGTCGCGCGCGCACGAGGCGGCCGCGGCGGCGCTCGACGAGGCGACGGCGCTGCTCACGGCCGCGGACGACCGCGACGTCGCGCAGCGGTCGTCGCAGGCCGCGCTCCTCGAGGAGCGCGAGGCGACGGCCGCGGGCCACGCGGCCGCGCTCGCCGCGCTCGCCGAGTCCGCGCGGCGCGGCGTCGCGGACTTGCGGGCGGCGCACGCGGCCTACGTCGACGAGCTCGCCGAGGACCGCGCGGCCGCCGCGGCCGACGCGCCCGCGGCGTCGGCGTCGGCGCTGCTCGCCGCGGGGGACCGCGCGGCCCGCGACGCGGCCGTCGCCGCGCGGACGCACGCGGAGGAGCTCCGGCGCCTCGGCGACGCGCGCGACG